AAAACAGTCCGAAAGGATCCCTATGATTCCAAGGGTTACACACACACACACCACGACACGCGAGGCTTTCCGGAGGGCCACAACTTCACCGCGGCCTTGCCCACCTTCCGCACCGTCGACACCATTTTCGTGGCCCGGAAGAACAGTCAAGGAGGAGCCAAGCTGGGTGAAGGTTGGGCAGTTGGGCTTCCTGGGCGGAATTGAAGGAGGCGTGTGAGAGGGAGTGAAGGTGAAGAGGAAGAAGGCGTTTTTGATGAACATTCGGTTTTTTAGAGGGGATACTCCTTTCAGCATCATCCATACGGTATTTGCTGGTCATGCGGACCCTAAAGCTCCAACTTTGGACTGATGTTGTGCTTTTGGTGCTTCGTATGTCTCAAGCCATGAGGGGCTCTCTCCGAGGTGTGAACACCGGGGATTTAGCGGGTCGGATGCATTCCACCGAAGTGTGGTCCAAATGGGTCAAACCTCCGGCATGGGTCCACAACTAGTCCCTAGGAAGACCACATAGGCTTCAATCTAGAGAGGGTTCAGCACGGGCTTAGGCATGGAGAAAAAAAACATACGGCACTCCCTAGGCGTCGAACTCGGCGTTTTGCGATGTCGTGGCCTCCCTTCAGGTGTGGGTCTTCCTCGCGGAGCTCCTGGTGCGTATGGTCGTGGAAGGTCGTCTCCCGGGGACTCTTTTTTGGTCTCCTGTTTTTTCGGACACCGTTTCAGGTTCTGACTAGGGGGGAGCAGAGATGGGCCAAAAGTTGGTGCTTGTTCGGGGCAACATCCACGTGATTTCGAGATGTTCGAACTGGGTGAATACTCTTAGTTGGGGGAATATGTGTTGCTTTTGCCCGGTTCCAAATCAGGTGAATCTTTGGGCTGCGAACATGATAGTGTGTATGTTTGTCGACCTCCTTTCCCCAGACCAGAGATTGCCAAGCAGCCTGGTTTGATAGCGGCTAGTGCAGTGCACGTACTTTTCCAGACCTCATTGGTTGATGAAGCGTTGCTTCTTCGAAATACCTGAAAGAGACGGCGAGAGAAAAGTTTATATAGGCCAGAGTGTAGGCCAGGTAATCCTGCAAATGTCCCCAGTCAAGGTGTTGCCACACCGATTTCAAGTCGGTCGCTGTTGGTCGCTGTAGTTCTCCAAGAAGTTCCGCCGGTGTCATTTTACATAACATTCCCTTTTGGCCCGTAGGCCTTATATACATTCACTTTTGAAATCACCACCTCATCAGTCAAGATGTCAGTCCCATCGGTCATCGAATGACTGGTCAGACTGGTCTGGGGCTCTTTAAAGCTCTTCAACCTTTCCCTGCAGGTCTGACGGACCTCATGTATTGGGTCCGGGAAAATGAACCAACAAAGTATACTAAGGAAAACATGCAAAAACAGGACTCTGGGGCCCTAGAACATGATGAAGTCTTCAGATTTGAGAATGATTCTCCTGGATTCTCCTGACGTTTTGGGGGGTCAGGCTGCCACTTCGTCAAGGACATTGCCAACTGGTTCCTTGGCACCCCCCGACCCACGCGACTCGCGACTGGACATTTGTCGAGTCCAGAGTCCGGTTGGGTTCCAGTGTCGTCCAGCGCCTCTTCCGCGAAACTCGCGACGGTTGGATGAAGAACTGTTCCTAACACGTCAGAAACTCCACCTGTCGGCAGTGTCCATGTTCCTGATCAACACCGAATCAGCTCATTCATGTCGGTTTCGCCACATGTTTTGTTTGAACAGCTACCCAGACACTCCATGGCACTGCCATACGCCGCCCCATGGACCCCCCTGGCACCACCCCAACTGATCGGCAGTCCTATGGCAGTCCCATGGGTCGTGTCTGGGCTAGGTTGGATTCCATTCTGGTGGCCGGCGGCCTCATTGACTTCATCCTGGCCACAGTCGGTGGAGGTCAACAGGATGCGGCCACCTTGCGGCTCATTGCCGCGATGCAGCTGAGACGAACGGGAGGGGCGCCAGCATGTGTTTGAGCATGTGGCTGAGCTACAAGCCCTAGGGCTCCTAGCCCACCTGAGGAGATGGTTGGAGCCCTAGGGAAGTAAATAGATAAACGTTATCCCCTACAGGTGGGGTTTGTCCGAACTTACCTGTAACAGTCAGTAAGCAGTTATCACTATTTTAGAGAAAGGCCTGCAACCTAACCATCATCATCCACTGGTAAAAGGAACCAGACCCAACCTATAGGTCCAGTCTGACTCAGTATATAAACCTGGTTGAAGAAACCCTCGTGCGTGCTTGTTGTGTTATTTTGTTGTATGATCAACTTCAATAAATTCAGGTCAAACTGCCCCATAGGGTCTAGATAGGGTCTATCCCATGACCAGTAACAGTCGCCGACCAGATGATCGCTGCTTTGGGGAAAGGAAGGTCTGCACTGGTATGTGGGACATACCCCCCAAAAAAGAGGTGTTGACTGAAGAAGAAGCAGGTTGCTAGGCAGGTTGTTTGACCAGTTCTTGGTTGTTTGGGTAGGTCCCGAGAAACTTCATGAACACCCAGTGGTCCCCCGGCCAGTCAGACGGGCCTTCAGACTAACAACATTGCATAGAAACTCCTAGGGCTAGTATTGATTCCGTTCAACATCATGATTCAGTGTTTCTGCAGGATATTTCGGGACCATTGGCTTACTCTAAGCCGTATGATGAGCTGGCACAATCTTGGACACAGCGGATTCTTTGTGAAGAACTACTGTGCCCAAGACGGATGTCAATCTGCCCAAAACGATGGATGTCCAAGACATCAGCCAGCTTCTTCAAAGTGACCTTTTGAAGGTTCCTAATGACCCTTAGGAGGCTTAAGTGACCTCAAACCAGGTTATCAAAAGGTCACTTTGAAGAACCAGGAAGTTTGTGACATCAGATTCCTTCAAGGGCGCTGACCACAGATGTCAATCAACTCCGGCACCGCTTTACCATTTGGCAGCCTAGAATTGGCGACAAGACGGTCAGCAAGTCCTTCGTGAGATCTCCAATGAACGCATGGGATGGATGTGGTGGAAAGGGCCTCCGGAAAAGGCAATTTCCGGCATACCAAACAGGTGGTGTGAGACTGCCCCTGACCTCATCCTGGGATCTCAAAGGAATCACTTTGAAGGTTATCAGCTCAGGTCCAGTCGGCTTTCACCCATCCCCATCCCCCCCCCGCCCTCCCTGATGGCGCCGCGGATTCCGCGTCTCGCCCCGCGCTGCGTCGCGCGCAGATCGCGCTGAGGAAAGCTTTCCGCGCGATCCGCATGGTGCGCAGCTTTCGCTTCTCTCCGGGGCTTCGGATGTTGGTCAAGGCTTTTCGCCTCGGGACGTGGAGGGACGCTTGAAGGCCCTAAAAATGAGGCGTTGGTTGGTGGGGTAAATTGAAAGGGTACCACATGTGGTGGATTTACATCGATTTCCTCGTGGCATTTTTCTATGGATCCACTGCCACCCTTCTTTTGCAATGCAACAAGGTGGCAGGGGTCCCTATCGCTAAATCCAAGGCTCTGAAAAAGGGTCAGAGTGAACTGCAATGTTTCCTGAAGAGTAAATGGTCGCTTACAGTTGCCTTCAAGCGCTAATAGTAGTCGCTTGCTTTTTGCTTTGGAGTTTGGATAGTTTGGCAAGACCCGACCTAGACTAGATATCCCAAGCTTCGCAATGCGTCATGTCAGGTGTTTCGACGCCAAACAACATAGTAAGCCAAGCGTGAATTCAACCAATGGTTGACCTAGCTGGAAGGGCGTTTCGCTACATGGTGGGACCAGGCTCCAGGTTTTGACCCGGCCCATCCCCATCATGTGGAAACCATGGCCATTGCTACCCAACGCGGGTTCGGACAGCGCCACGGCTTCTTCCATGGACAGCTGTATACAGCTGCACCAATTCGATGGAACCACCACCATCGGACTTTTCAGCGGTCGCCGACCCCCAACAGTCGGACACTGTTGGGCAACCGTTTGCCTGTTGGACGGCGTGTTTGACGGAAGCAAGTCTTTTCGATGTCCTCGTTCGAGAGGGGTGACCACCATTCGTTCGGCGATGGCGCCTTGGTGGACTGTTCTTGTTTTCAAATCCATCGCACTTGGAGGTAAACATCTCAGATCAGGTACCGCTGGTTGGTGCCCAAAACCTCCCAAACATCCGTTTCCGGCCCCTTCAAATGCAAAGAAATACCTTGTCGGCGCCCGCCAAAGAAACACGAACATTTTCTGGGTTTCTTCGTAGCTTAATGCACCTCGGCTTGTTCTCGTGCCTGAAGCCGTGAATAGGCATAATGTATCATCATGTGCATGGCTATGTTGTTTCACCGCATGTGTGTTTTGTTCATCCATTCATACACATTCTGTATCTTATCTTATCTATCCCTCGGGCACCCCACCGTCCCTGTGGAAGGGCCATCGGGCTTTCTGAGGGGCCGGACGTGTGACAGACCGCAAGGGACGTGTGTGTGGTCCATGAAGGAGTTGTTTGGTTGCAACGTACCTGATCCGTGCAGGCGTGCCAGTGTTGCTTGCCCTCATTATGCTGGTCAATGCTCCTTTTAGCGGTTTTCATGTGCATGGGAGCCTTGATCATGGGCGCCTCGGACGCCTAAGAAGACCCGGAGAGCGTGTGACGGGTGTGAGATGGAACTGGGGTGGTCTGCTGTTTTGGTGCTGAAGTTCAGTCGACAACTGTGCCCCTTTGACTTCAAGGCGGAACTCGGCGGGAACGCCTGGTGTTGCACCAGAATCTGGGCAATGATGTGGGAACGATCAACTCCTCCTAATGGAGACTCCTCTTTGAGATTGTAAGGCCTCTTCAGTCGGGTTGAAATATCATCAAGAGTCAAAGAGTCTACATTCTAAAGCAATTCTCTTTCAGGATGCCGTCTCCACATCCGCTACTGAGACACCTGTTAGTTGGCTTTTCGACTTGCAGAGACTGGCGGACCAGGAGGCTTTCTTTGTTTGATGCGAGGTGGTGCGATGGTGAGATGAAACCCTGGTTCGAGCTGGTGATGGGCTGTTGCGAGATGGGGTTGGTCAAGGAGAAAGGTGATGAATGATAGCAGTTTTGAGCGATGATCTCGAGGGTTGGAGCTGCTAGCACCCAACCCTTTTGGATCATGTTGCTTTTACTCAAGGGATCTTTATATCAAGCAGTCCAGAATGTGCTTTCTAGTTTTCGGTCCTGCTCAGTTCTTGGATTTTGTTCAAGGCAACTTGTTGCAAGATTACATCACGGACGAGAACAACTTGATCGAGGACCTGGCTTCCTCGGCTTCGTTTGTATCCAATAATTAGGCTGTTGGAATGACGACAGGTGATTAGCAGGGTTACCTCCTGTCACCAGGAAACACCGATCTGGGAGGATTCACATACTATCACATACTTATATATATATATATATACGTATAAATATTATATATATGAGTCTTATATGATATATATGGTCTTCGCCCCGAATTTAAAGACGGTCACCCTTCCAGTTTGAATCCGCAGCTTCTCGGCTCTGCGGTGAGTCCTATGGCACACGAGTGGGACACCTGCTCGTGTGTCTTGTGCCTTGCCCTACGCCGAGTGTATAACCTCCTGTACTCGGAGGAGGCCAGCGGATCCCTGCAGCGAAAAGGTGTGGAGCTGCTGAGGTCCGTGCACTACCAGCTCCTGGACTTCAAAGAAGGGGGAGAAGTCGAGGCTGCCACCTCGGCCACTCCCGGTCTCCCGAGTGGGGGAGGCGGTGGCACCAAGCGTGTGAAGCAGGAGCACCCATCTGAGGAGAAGGAGAACGCGGACGACCCCGACAAAGCCAAGCCAGTTGAGACCCCGGAGGAGAAAGGGGTGAACAGCCCTTCGAAAGAAAGCCCTCCAGACACCGGTGGAGGAAAAGCTTCAGTGGACACAGGAGAAGGAACTTCGACCGCCCGAGACAGTGCACCCAGCAAAAAGGAGAGAACCAGATCTTCCCGAGATCGTGAACGCCGCCGCAGACGAGACAAGGAAGAAGGTGAGACTGAGGGAGCCGACAAACGCTCCCGTAGTAGACACAGGAGAAGGCAGAGACGAGCCTCCAGCAAGGCTAAGAGTCCCGAGAAGGGACAGGCCGAGCACCATTCCCCTTCCCGAAAGAGCAGGAGAAAGGATTCCAGGGACCGGGAGTCCCCCCATACACCAGCCCCGAGTCCAGGCCACCACTCACCACAGGGATCGTTGCCATCCCGCCCCTCCGGGCTTACCAACGCTCAGAAGAGAGCAATCCCTCCTCCACCAAAGCCACCGCCAGTTCGTGCCCCTAGAGAACCAGACCATCCACCCCCGGGGTACTCCAGCTGGGCAGAGACCGACGTCCGGTCCAAGTCCTACGCCTACAGAGATCCACCCCCCAACAAAGGGAAGAAGAAGGACGAGCGCAACCACAACTTCAGGTTGTGGCGTGAGTACGAGCGGGGCTACTACTGAGCGAGATGCCGCCTCGACGGCGTCCCGCGGTGGACCATGCGAGGGCTCGCGTGGGGGTGCTTCGCAGGCCAGCGGCGGCGGAGCCTTTGGGGGATCCGGGCTCCCGAGAACCAGTGTAGGAGCCGTTGAGCAAGATTGCATTGAGCAGCATCAACAAGAGGATGAGGGTGATGGTGGACGGCTTGTACTGGGAGTCTCCCGTGGTGGTCGCAGGGGAGACGAGAGGAGTGGTGATGCAGGAAGGAGATGCCACTTGGAGAGTGTGGGTCACAGGAACTCAAAGCGAGTCGTTGCTTCGGGAGGTTGGAGGCCGATGCAAAGAGATGAGGATCCATCTATGCCCGGAGCCCTGCGACAAGTTAGTATGGTCCAAAGATTTGATCCACGGCCTCCGCTACCGCGTGCAAGAAGGTCCAGCGGAGGATTGGTGGACAAACCTGGAGGAAGTCCCACGAGACCGAGAGCGAGCAGATCCCGGAGGTGCAGATCCCCTACATCGGCTTCGAGAGGAGATGGACGAACGCGAAAAAGAGGGAGAAATCCATTATTCTCCCGAAGCAGCAGTGCCTCCCGGTGGGAAAGGGGAGGTCGGCGAAGAGAAAGGAGGCCGAAAGAGGAAGCGCAAGAAGTCGCGCGTGAAGGTGCTTTTGGAAGCCCCCCTCAAGGACGTCTTCAAGCAGACCGCCTTGGACCCAGACCTCGAGGTTCGCCAGGAGCTCATGAAGCGAGCTCGAAGGATCAGGAAAGGCAAGAAGAAAAAGAAGAAGGGATCCCGTTCGAGGAGTCGAGGTTCATCCAAGGAGGAGACAGAGGATTCGACCGACAGTTCAAGCCTGGGAGAGCGCCGTATAGCGACCGCCGACCTGTTCGAGAGCGAACGCAGGTCATGGAAGATTTGGCGCCGTGTTCCTGGAGCGTTGACCAATGCAGCCATCGCGGATATGCAGGACCAGATGATGACGGCCTCCGGTTACGTCAATCGCCCGGCAGAAGTGGGAGCGGTGGCTCCCGTGGCGGCACAATACTTTCGGATGCATCTACAACCAAGCATGGGGCAGGCAATAGCCAGGGAATCATTGCACCTGGCGACAATCCTCGACCTGAGCCTCCGAGGACGCACAGCGGCCGCGCTAGACGTGGCAGCCCAGCGTCTGAAGGCCCTCGAGGCCATGGCCAGAGGAACGGCCATAGATGTGGCCAGGAGGCTGGAGCTCGTGGGTGCAGAGAAGCCGACCCTCCTCAGCGTGCCAGAAGCAGGCGAAGCGGGCAGAGAGGTGCAGGCCGAGGAGCGCATCATGAGGAGGAACACAAGTCGATGGCATTGGGAAGAGCGAGATTCCTACAAGGGTTCAAAAGGCAAAGAAAAAGGAAAGAGGGACAAAGGAAAAGGAGAGGGCAAGTATCGCGACAAGGGTGGCAGAAAAGGAGAAGGAAAGAAGAAGGACGACAAGGGCGACAAAGAGTGAGGCAAAAGAGAAGAGCTGGAGGAGCAATGTTGGGAAGGGGGGAGGGAGTCAAGTCAGGTGGCTCTCTCCCGGTTGAAGTTGAGCCTGCACTGAAGCGATCGAGGCGCAAAGAAGGGTTCGAACAGTTTCACGGAACAGAGGATGTTCTTTTGGCTCAATCTGTGTTGGCAGGCGCAGGGGAGCCCACGGCACTACGTGATCGAGGAGATCTACAGTTGAATTCATTGTCAAACTCCTGCACTGAAGGAGTACCGTCGGCGGACTGCCCAGGCGTAGGTCGGGTGGTTGGCCTTGTTGGCGAGACGGCCCAAGGGGCAGAAGATAGCGGCTCGCCCCAGACCAAAAGCGTGAGTCCACTCCCGAGCGAGGGGAGTGGACGCAAGATGGCTTTGGCTGTACAGCAGAAAGTTTCACCACGTGATTTCCGACAGCTCATGTCCCTGGCCAGGTCTATGTTGTATGACGGTGAGTGTGAGCGCATGCAGAACACGGTAGAGGATACCTCCTACGTAGCTGATGATATATTCCCACTTCCTCTACCCCTGAAGCCAGGGGCCAACTCAGAGCTGGCGTGTGCGGACATGATTTACGGGTTGAACCTCTTTGCTTGCGGCAAGGGGGAAGGACATCGGCCCAAACGTGAGCCTTGTGGGATTGTGGAAAACCTGGTTGAGGTTTGTGACCGCTTCAAAGTGTGGGACGTGACATTGGGGAACCTGGACTTTGCAGATTTCTTCGCAAAACGGGGAGTTACCTATGACGGGGAAGAAGTGCGAGTTGCCCAGACCTTGACATGGGAGGGGGTGCGGAGTTCATTGCCGGACGAAGTGGGACAGCTGGACTTGAGGGACTTTTGTACTCAAGGGACCCTGCATTATTTGGAACATTTTGAGGAAGATTTGATCGATTCGTCGGACCTCCCATGCCCCAAAGCCCCCCGGGTCATGGTCGGGGATGATTGGCCGTCCATATGCGAGGGCCTCATCAAGAAGAACATCTGCGAAGTTATGCCTGTGGACGAGCTCTTCCACATCAACCAGGCGCCTTTGCTCAACGGAATGTTCGGGGTTGGCAAGGGAGAATTTGTTGGAGAGATCGAAACTCAACGGCTAATTATGAATTTAGTGCCGCTCAATGGGCTGTGTGAACCTCTGGTGGGAGACGTATGCACTCTCCCGAACATCTGCAGCTTTGGAACCTTTTTGCTCGATGACGGAGAAGTCGCACTTATAAGTTCTGAAGATATCCGTTGTTTCTTTTATCTTTTCAAGATACCCCCTGCCTGGAAGAAGTTCCTTGGATTCAATCGCCCAGTTCCGCCTTCCTTGGTACCTGAAGAGTGGCAGGGACGCCCTTGCGTGCTCACGTCTTGTGTCTTGCCTATGGGGTTCATCAACAGTGTATCCATTGCACAGCACGTCCACAGGAATATTGTCGCATGGAGTCAGCAGGTGGAAGGTGGTCTTGGTCAAGGCTGTGAGATGCGAAAAGATCGGGTCAGCAGCAGTGCAAAGTCCCAGTACCGCGTTTACCTTGACAATTTTGACTTGGTTGAGAGGCTTGATCCAGCTACTGCTGCTGCTCTGGAAGGGCAGGTGGCGAATACGGTTGAGGATCTACGCGAACAATACGCAGCACAGAACATACCTCGCCATCCCAAGAAAGCGGTGGTAAGAGCTCCCGTGGCGGAGATACAGGGAGCGATTGTTGATGGAGTTGCAGGCTTCGCCCAGCCTAAGGCCAACAAGATCGCTTTGTACTGCCAGTTAGCGTTGATGCTAGTCGAACAGGGACAGTGTACCTTGAAGGAACTCCAGGTGAGCAACGTTTTTTTCAATTGAAAGGAGTCAGGCAGAAGTGGAACTTGTTATCTTTCCGCGAAAGCAAATGTGTGAAGCTTCTTGTTCTGCGAAAGCTCGCGAAAGCGCCCTGCGCAGCTTTGGAACATGTTGAGCTGCGAAAGCAGATCGCGAAAGCAATATGGCGCATGTAAATGTAATGTAGATTTTAATATATTATATATATACAGTGAAGATGAGTGTAGATATAGGCAAGGATATATCCGTCCCACATGTGTACGCAATCTCATTCCACTTAATTCCAGTGTAGCTATCAGAGTTACAGAGTTACTAGAGCTGTGTGTTGATATTTTTTCAAGAAACCTTTCCCTCAACCTTGGACACATGCTTTGGGCTGGGTGAGAGTGTTCACAAACCAAGGTGCTAGGTTGGAATCCTTTCTGTTTGACAATGCTTCTGGAGTTTCTACTTTGTTGTTTGAGTTTTATTTCAAGAAACTTTCCCCTCAACCTTGGACACATGTTTTGGGCTGGGTGAGAGT